TTTTACAGCTCTTTTAATTGTTTTCCTGTGGTTGCCATGGTGAATCAATATATCTGAGCTCTTCAGTTTCAGCTCAACATGAAGATGCTTATTGATTGAACTCATTCTGGAAGTCAGCTCTGGATGACTTCCTGGTTTTATGTATATTTTTGCGTTGATTTATCTCCAGGTCACCGGCTGCTTCACCTTTTCCTGGTTTAAACAGAACTATACTAATTTTGTTTCCTCTTGCGTTCGGGTCCCCCTTCACCTGTTGAGGAGGACAACGTGTCTTTTTTTTAAACGTCTCTGCAGCAACCAGCAGATTCAGAATTCAGATGTTAAAATTTGAACTCTGAACACTCGGAGTTGTGCAAATAGTCCATGCTGTGAGGGCCTGGTGTATTTTTTACGATGTTTGAAATAAAAAATATAAACCCAAATGGCAAGTTGAAGATGCAGATGGAGACGAAGGTTTTGTCTCTGTGTAGGCTGCAGCTTCAAGGCTTTTCTGCAGCTAACAGCTGGTCAACAGGTCAGTCTGGTTTCTGTTTATGCATGCATGTGTGTGTGTGCGTGTGAGTTTGTGTGTGTGTGTGTGTGTGCGTGTGTAGGCGAGTGCCTCGGGTTGCAGCAAGCTATCGGTCAGCAGGGCATGTGGCTCTGATGTGAAATTGCCAACGGTTACCACGGCAACGGCGATGGAAACAAAAAGCTCAGTGCTCCTGTAGTGAGGGCGCGATTGAGGAGGCGAAGCGAGGCCTGCGCCTTTTCTTGGATTTCATCCACGGCTCGAGCTTCTCTCGCTCTCGCAGCTCTCTCACTTCCCTCCTGTTAGCTTTGTTTTCTCCCTCCTCCTCCCCCTCCTCATCTCTCCCGGAGCCTTTCCCCGTTCCCGTCGCCTCTCCGTGTCTCCCTCTGTCTCAGTTCCCCTTCTGTCTCGAGGGATGGAGGCATAAGGAACAGCTGGGTGAATCTGGGGGAATGGGTGGAGTGAAGGGTTGATGAGTAGGGCAAGAGGAAGAATGAAGAAAGACAGAAGGCATAAAAGACTGACGAGTGATTTGGTGGAACGTTATGGCTTCACAGAAACATACATCTCAGTTATGTAAATGACCTAGCACCCAGTTAGCAGTCTGCACAGGCAATTTTCTAAATCCTGTGAATTTTTCCTCCTTTCAGCTCCAAATCCTAATGCTAATCTGCACACGTGTTATGAGCACAGATATAAGCTTGTCACAGTACAAGTGAGAAGTCGCATGCAGTGGGATGTTCTCTCAGTGGGGTTTAAAGTCACACATTCACCAGACTGCAAAGAGCACCCTTATGGAGCCTTGAATCATTGTTTGCTGCATCTATTTATGCAAGTTTTCTAAACCCCTCTGTCCTGTGTGATGCAGATAAAAATGATGATTGTAATTAGTGTGCCTCGCCGCTTGTCCTGTCTCCTTGTTCCTGCTTTTAGTTCAGCGGCTGGAAAAAGGAATCCCTTTAAGACTGATCGTTATTTCAGACGCATCTAAATGTCGGCGACTGACACCAAACTGGGTTTGTCCACCAGAGAGCTCGGTGCTAATCCGGGCCACACTTCAGGGACATGATGCATCTTGCATTTCCACCTTAAGAATCCAGCAACCGCCTTATCTGCTGTGACACATTCCAGTTTGCACCGACTCGAAGCTCAAGTACAGTTATATGTTTTATTTACTTACTTTTATATGAAAATGTAACAATTAAAATTTTGCATAAAGGAAAAAAAAAAACAGCAAAAAATGTTTAAATTTTCTTTTATTTATTTAAGAAAATGGCAGCTATAAAATATGAAATGGTTCAAACTCTTCAAATTTCTACATTTCCAGCAGCTTTAAAGAGCAAGTCACCCCTAAACCAACAATTTTTTTTCTGATAAACTATATAAATGCATGTCTAATCGTGCTGCAGACACGTGTAGTCAATAGTTTTGCACTTTAGTGCATTTTAGTTAAAATTTAAATTTTCTGCCTGAAACTGGCAGTGTTGTGCCGTTGTCAGGTAAAAACTCTTCACTGCATTTGAATTTAAATCTGCCACCGCTATTGGCTAAGAGGTATGCTATGATGTAAACTGGTACATTATGATGTCACAATGTCGTGAGTGTGTGTATTTGTTAGTGGCGCCACCCACTCGGTCTGCTAGGCAACAGCATTTGTTGGATTTTTCAAACATGAAGTGGGAGTGAAGTACGCTTCTTGTAAGGGGTGACTTGCTCTTTAAGGCTGAACACACAATCATTTCACTCAGCACCAATTATAAACACAAAATAGTCCCATTCCTTCCCTCTGGGTCTGTTGGGGCCCTGGTGTATTTTTAAACTCGGCCCTCTTGCTCTCATTGTTGTCACAGCATTGTTTGTGCTCCGGAGCACAATCCCTCTGTCTGAATCTGTTTACGTGACCCGTTTCGCTTGTTCTTTTCTTGTCTCATCCATGTGATAGTAAACATGGGCAGATGAAAGGGAGATCCGAAAGAGGATGAAGCCCTGTGAGGGTCTGATTCATTTCCATAGCCCAGTGAGCCAGGTTCAAATCCTCTGTGACACAAATGTAAGACGCACTCTCCAGCCTGCTGGGCTGCAGCCCCGTCCCGGTAATTTCCGTGTTTAAGCCGTGAAGTGCAGCCGCTCTCCTCTGCTCTCTCTCTCCACGTGTCAGACGCGAGAATCAGAGCTGGAAGCGCTGAAGTTGAAACCTCTCCTCCTTCTGAAGTGCATCTTCAGCCTCCCTACTCACGTCCGTGCTCTGCAGCTTTCAGCAGGATTTTTCAGAAAAGGAAGACAAAACACACAAACGTGGACGTGTGATGGCGTACAAATAGAACGAAGAGACGTCACGAAGACGGCAGCTGGATCTGAGAAAACAGCTGGTAATAAAAATGGATGCAGTTCGGAACAGAAAAGTGTATGGATCATTAGCAAGAGAACATTTAATGGAGAAACGCCTCGGATCTGCTCTGCAGATGTTAAAGCTCATCATGAGGAGCTAAAACTTTCTTCAGATGCAATCACCAAATACATGAAAATGAAGATGTAGGGTCATTTGTTTTCTGTCAAATGTTATTTAGAAGAAGAAGAAGAAGAAAATATCATTTCTATAGCGCCTCTCAAGCTAAAAATCTATTTAGGAGCATGTACGGGGGCGACGGTGGCACAGGAGTTAAGTGCTCGCCCCGTGATCTGAAGGTTGCAGGTTCGAGCCCCGCTCAGTCTGTTGCTGTCGTCATGTCCTTAGGCAAGACACCAAACCCCCCTTGCCTGCTGGTGGTGGTCGGAGGGGCCGGTGGTGCCCCACGGCAGCTGTGGCTACAGTGTAGCTCATCACCACCAGGGTGTGAATGTGTGTGTATGACTGGTTGTTTTGTAAAGCGCCTTGGGGGGTTCCAGGACTCTAGGAGGCGCCATATCAAATACAGGCCATTTACGCTGGTATTTCATCACTGTAGCTGCAGAGCAGTGGTCAGATCTCTAGACCAGGAGTGCCCAAATGTTTCAAGACGAGGTCCAAAATCATTTAGTTAAAGTTCTCCCGGATCACAGAAATAGGATGTTTTCATCTAAAGATGCAGAAATCATTTTGTGGTTGTTGTTTTTTATTTGTTCTGCTCAAAAAAGCCCAAAATGAACATGTTAGTCGAAATCAACGGTCTGCAGGAGAGACAAAACAAATGCAAGTGGGGGCCTAAAGAATAACTCAGAGGGCTGCAGATGGCCCTCAGGCTGAACTTTAGATGTGCATTTCTAAAGGCGCTGACTGGGGTTGCTTCCTGCCCACCTGAAAACAAAACGTCAGCTGGATGAGTGAGATGGTCTGCTGTCAGATCAAAACCACTAACAAGGACCAAACGTTGGCTCTGAAACATCTCCAGAGTCCACCGAGTGAAAGACCTGGTAGTTGGATTCTGGTCCTCTTGTTTGTGTGCGGGTGTTTGGGTTAGGGTCTAAACTCGACGCTCCTGTCGGAGTGACATCATCAACAGCTGATAACCAGATGTCATGATGAGGTCATCTTTGGATTCCAGACTGGATCAATGAGCTCTCTTCGGGTTGGAGGAGAGTCTGCCTCCAGTGAACGAGTCGAAGCGTCTTGTCCTTGAGGAACAACAGGAGGGACCCGTGCTTCATCTGGAGTTTCCAGAGTGCAGCTCTGGTCTGGCCTGGTGAAGAAGGAGCTCAAGGTCTGTCGGTGTCCAAGTCATGAGGTTAACGAGATACAAGTGTGAATCTGCCCTCGTGCAGATGCCATTTACACAGCTGTCGGTGCAGATCCTTCAGAACGTTCTCCATTCAGAAGTGGTGACAGGCTAAACACGCGCTGACCTCATCTAATCCGGGAGTCAGCTAGAGAGTAACGCGGCCAGAGAAAGCTAATCATCCACGCACCTCGTTTAGACGAGTCACGGCAAACAACACGACTCTCTCGCTTCCTCTCAGAGACGCCTACTCATCCGGTGTCTGTCTGGGGCTTTCTGTACTTCTCCTAAAAATGTCAAAGTGCGACGGCGGTTTAGGACCTCGAAAATAAAAGAGAAAAGGTTCCTTTTGTGTTCCATCAACATCGAAATGTTGAGTTTTTGCCAAAAAGGGCCAAAAAGGCTAATCTGCAGCGTGTGTTAATAATAAGTTACTTTTACAAACTTCTGCTGTTTTAGGAGCACGAGGAACGTATTTTACTGTGAAGGATTGCAGGAAGTTTCTACAGACTAAATCGTCACAGTTTGACATTTGATCATGCTTTTTAAAAAGTCTTGTTTTGTATTTCCTGTTCTTCAGCTGGGACGTACAGAAACGGCGGTGAACAACCTGAACCCGGTGTTCGGGGTGAAGTTTCATGTGGATTATCACTTTGAAGAGATTCAGAAGCTTCGGTTCGCCATGTTCGACGAAGACAAGTGCGCCACGCAGCTCTACGAGCACGACTTCCTGGGAGAATTCATCTGTACTCTGGGCGTGGTACTGATGCTTTACTTCTATTCAGTTAGATCTGGACTCAAAAAATAAAGTAACCAAGTCAGAATAGAAGGAGCTTTTTAGAAATAGAATATATTCTCATTTAGTTTTTTTTATTGATGCATGATTTGTTTTATTCTGTTAGATCGTGTCCAATAAGAAGCTCCACAGACCACTGATTTTAGCCAATGGGAAGCCAGCTGGTAAAGGATCCATCACGGTAAAAATCTAAAAATATCTGTTATTCCAGAATAGATTTATGATTTTTGACTAATTTCTTTGTTCCAGATGTAAATAAACAAACTCTGCATGATAAAGTTGAAATGTGGAGAAGCACTCAACATTTGGATGTTTGTTTTTGGGGCTAGTTAATGTCAGGATAGCTACTTAGTACCTTAGCACTAGAAACATGACAGCTCTGATTTTACAGTGTATGGTCTACAATGTGATGTCATCATTTGTGTTTTTCTTCTTCTTAGACAGTTGCTAATTAGTTTTAGTTTAGTTTTAATGACCTTATCAGATTTGTTTTGCTGCAGTTTAAAGAGCAAGTCACCCCCTACCAGATTCTTACTCAACTCCCACTTCCTGTTTGAAAAATGCAACAAATGCTGTTGCCTAGCAGACCGAGAGGGCGGAGCTGCTAACAAATACACACACACACACACACACACACACACACACACACACACACACACACGCACACGCAAGCACGCACACGCACACGCACACGCACACGCACACACACACACACACACACACACACACACACACACACACACAGGCTCACAACGACATTGTGACATCATATGGTACCAGCTAACGTTCTAGGGTACCTCTTAGCCAATAGTGATGGCAGATTTAAATTAAAATGCAGTGCGGAGTTTTTACCTGACAACGGCACAACACTGACAGTTTTAGGCAGAAAATGAAAATTTGAACGAAAATCCATTAAAGTGCAAAACTATTGACACGTGTCTGCAGCATGATTAGACACACATTTACATAGTTTACCAGGAAAAAAGTTGATGAGTGTCCAATTGTGCTGTAGACAAATGTAGTCAATAATTCGGCACTTTAGTGCATCTCAGTTAAAATTTAAATATTCTGCCTAAAACTGTCACCGATGCACCGTCGTCAGGTAAAAACTCTGCACTGCATTTGAATTTAAATCTGCCATCGCTATTGGCTAAGAGGTACACTATGATGTTAGATGGTACATTATGATGTCACAATGTCGTGAGTGTGTGTATTTGTTAGAGGCTCCGCCCTCTCGGTCTGCTAGGCAACAGCATTTGTTGCATTTTTCAAACAGGAAGTGGGAGTTGAGTAAGAATCTGGCAGGGGGGTGACTTGCTCTTTAAATGTAAACACCAAAAAATAAAAAAATACCCTAAACACTCACAGTTGCAAGAAAAAGTTCCCAGAATGCAGCTCGCTGAACCGGAACAGTTCTGTAAAGATCAACGGTCAAGAATTGGTCCTGACCGTTGATCTGATCCACAACTGCAACAATAAATGTTTGGTTGAAGTCATTGCTACCAAAGGAGGTTTAACCAGTTCTTAAATCCAAGAATTCACAAACATTTTCCACATGCACTGTGAATGTTTACCTGGAAACTTATAATAGCAGACTGTGATTATCGGTTTGACTTAAATGAAGATCAGATCACATTTTATGACCAATTTGTGCAGAAATTCATACAATTCACACCCTTTTCCTTGCAACTGTGGTCTAATAAACACTGTAGCTGTTGGTCATACGGAGGAAGCTGCTGCTGTGCCGCTCAGTGAGGATGTTCTGCTGCGTTTGTTTACCGTTGTTTATTTAAATGTTCTGCCTGTAACTGATGTTCTGTTCTGTAACTTTAGATAACAGCACAGGAGCTGTCTGACAACAGAATCATCACTCTGACCCTGAGTGGGCGGAAACTGGATAAGAAGGTGGGCAGCTAGGTTCACACGTGCACAGAAACTCATGATGCAAATGCAAAAACACGTTCGCACAAAGTAATGCACAAGGATTTGGACACAAGGGGAGCCCACACAGACAACGTTTTACTGTCAATGTTCAGCAATCTCATCTGCACAGGATTCCTTCAAAAGTGAGAAAAACCTCAAACTGGAAGAGTCTGAAACGGAGGACCAAATTTATATTAATTCTATTTCTTCTGTCGAATAATTAAACCAAAGAAGCAGCAGTTTTGAAGAGAAGCTACTAAGGAGAGAGCCGGGTTGTTTTCAGCTCATGCTGGCGAGGAACTGCTGTGCAACATCCTGCTAAACACCAAGAGAAGAGTCAACAGCAGGAGCTGCGAGCGTCTTTTATTCCAGGCTTTTCGTTTACATGACCAGAACAACGCAGCAGGAGCTGTGGGAGTTCTGTGGGAAATGAAGCTAACCTTTATAAACATTTTCATTGTGCAGGACTTTTTTGGTAAATCCGATCCGTACCTGGAATTCCACAAACAGGGAGATGATGGTAAATGGATGCTGGTGCACAGGACGGAGGTGAGCACCTTCATCACCAGCTGAGATAGCTGCTGCCGTAAACTGGAGTTCAGGCTGTTCTCCTGTGATCGTGATAAATCAGCTGTTTCTGTCGCTGTGACTTCAGGTCATCAAGAACACATTAGATCCAGTCTGGAAACCTTTCACTGTGCCTCTCATTTCACTCTGCAACGGAGACATAGAGAGAAACATTAAGGTTTGTCTTCATCGTGCACTCTCTCGTCCGACTCACTCGAACAACCTCTAACATCCTGGAACTTACGAGTCAAACTTCTGCTCACCGACAGGTGCTGTGCTATGATTATGATAACGACGGAGGCCACGACTTCATTGGAGAGTTTCAGACGACGGTCACCAAGATGAGCGAAGCACAGAACTCCGTGGAGGTAAAACATCGCATCAACGTGTGCTTGAACTCACCAGGGTCTGTTCAGTCAGACGGACCAATCAGGTTGAAAACAGCAGCAGCCTGGGGCACGTCCTGTGCAGAGGTCAGAATATTTCAGCTGTATTAGCATCGTGATGTGGAACAAACGGTGGTTCGAAATATTATCAGTACTGCAGCTTTTAGAAAGTTGCTCAGAGGCAAAAAGCCACGACCTGATCAGACTAGCTGTTAGCTCCTCAGTCATGTCACACTCTCTAGATCTGATATTTATTTTCTCAGAACTTGTTTTATCAGTGGTTTATTATTTATTTCAGTAAGTGCGAAGATACCTATTCCAACTGATTTGATCCAGGGTTAGGGGTAGAGTTAAAAAAAAACTGTTAGTTAGCCCAAAGAGACTTAATTCAATTCAGTTGGTCAATTGAATTCAATTGAATTGAATTGAGCGTTAAATTCCACTACCTCCGCTCCGCTCCGACACGAACGCCGGAGCAAAATCGATCCCGTTGTAGTCAATCAGAGCAATTCCACTACTGCGGCCATGCTTCAGCAGTGCGGCGCCGTGCGCCGCCCTCTGTTCCGGCGTCCGGCAAAAATAGAATCGATCCTATTTTCGCCGGACGCCGGAGCACCTCCGCAGTAAATGGACAGAAATCACAACCGCCCAACAGGAAAAGAAGCAAGCACAACTTCTGTTTTTCACAATAAATCGATAAACAAAAGGCGTTTTTTGTTTCATATGCACAGGTTTAACAACTTTTAACAACTATCAATGGCGGCTGAAGTTTAAATGCACAAAAGTAAGCCATAAATACAGATTATACTATCAAAGTAGTCACACTTTGTTGATCCAAACACTGCTGATCTCTCAACACAAATGATGGGCAGATTAAACAGTTCATTTCGATGCTTCTCCCACACAACGGGTGTTTGGATCTAACTTCCGCGTTCACTGCTCGGACTGTATCGCAAGATCTCGAAAATCCGGCGCATGCTTGTTTGCCCACCTCAGGTCTCCGCACCGGAGCGGAGCCGTTGTAGAGCGGGTACCAGTAAAAATTGAGTTCGGAAGCGAGCGGCTGCGGAAGGCGGGGGCGAAGTGGAGCGGAGCGGAGGTAGTGGAATTTGGGGGTTAAAGAGCAAGTCACCCCCTACCAGAGTCTTACTCCACTCACACTTCCTGTTTGAAAAATGCAACAAATGCTGTTGCCTAGCAGACCGAGAGGGCGGAGCCACTAACAAATACACACACACACAGGCTCACAAAGACATTGTGACATCATATGGTACCAGCTAACGTTCTAGGGTGCCTCTTAGCCAATAGCGATGGCAGATTTAAATTCAAACGCAGTGCAGAGGTTTTACCTGACGACGGCACAACACTGACAGTTTTAGGCAGAAAATTAAAACTTTAACTAAAATGCACTAAAGTGCAAAACTATTGACGTCACGTGTCTGCAGCACGATCAGAAACGCATTTATATAGTTTATCATGAAAAATAAGTTGATTTGGGGGTGACTTGCTCTTTAAAAAACTTTGTTTTAGACAAACGTTCAAATTAAATCTGCAGACTGCAAGAAAAATCTCCTGGTCATGTTGCATTTTAGTTCTGTGTCCTTTAGAAATTTGAGCAATTATGAATTAAGAGTAGGACATATGCACTCAAGGAGAGACACAGGTGACAGAAAAGGCAACTGATTTTATTTCTCTGAGAGTAATTACCTGCCACAAATCTCCAGGTTTGGATGATCTTTGGTTTCCGCAGAGAAGCAACAGGTCAGTTTCTGAGAGATGTGAATGATTTAATAAGATTGATGAGCTTGGTGTTTATCCAGAATGATAAACTATGTATAATGAAGGCTTTAGCTTCTCTCAGGTGGGGTTTTAAACATCCAGGTGAACCAACAGACTGACAAATGGCCGAAAGTTACAATAAAAGCAGCAAATCTTTACATGAGACGAAGCCGAGGCCCGCTGTGCACCACGATGGTGAGCTGATGAAACGGTGATGATTGAAAGGACGTAGCTGAGAAGCTGTTGTTATGATTAGCATCACATTAATCAGCGCACCACCACAAAGCTGAGTTCTCTTTATTTATTTTGGATAAAATGACAAAAACCTTGATGGAGAATTTATTTTACTCAGTTTAAGGGTTAAAGGTGTGGGTCACTCGTTTAATCAACACATCTGGTGTGCAAGCCGTACTTTTAGGAACTTTTTTTGCTGGTTTCTTGTTTAAAATAATGAAGGAAAAAATGAATAGTTCATAATTAAATAATAATAAGGACACATAAAATCACCAGTCTCACCTGTAGAGTATGTAATGATTTAAATTACATGTTATTTAATAAGCCATAAGACGTAGGATTCTATAGGAAATATGAAATCAACCTTATGGATCTGTTGGGTTATTTTAACCAGAAGATTGGAACTTTTTATTGCAGGGATTAGATAACAGCTTCGTATTCACTCAGAGACAACAGAAGGGAGAGTCGAGTTTAAAAGTTTAAAGATTTATTACTAAACAAAATAAACTAGACTAACTTTAACACTAAATGTATGGTGTAACTAAGGTGGATGAGACGGAGAATGGTGTAGTGTGGAATGCTGTTCAGAACCAGCAAATCTGAAGAAGCGATTAGTTCTGATGGGACGTGAAGGTGATGTCTTCACGTTAAGCTTTGGTTAGGAGATTTATAAACACATGCAACGCCATTTCGCCGGTCTGCATACCCTTGGCGGAAGTCCCCGTTAGATCAGGAATGTCGAGGTCCAGCTGGACCTTTTCTGGAACCAAAGCCGGTAGGAAAAGCAGCGGTTGCCGACCAGACCAGTCTTTGAGATACTTCCGGGTCACGACGGTTTTGTTGGCATCTAGCAAGACCCAAACCTGGGTCTTGATGGTTCAGCTTTTATTCTGAAAGGAACCGTTGCAGCAGTTGGAACAGCAACAGATTTTATCCAGCTTGTCGTTGTTCTTTCAGTTGAAGAGGAAAGTTACGGATTGGCCACTCCGACAACTTCTCTAGAACGCTTTTAGCTGGAGTTAAAGACAACGTGGGCATAGTTTTATACTTCGGATGTTTTGGTTTACGGTCGAATGAAAAGATGACAGATTTACCAAACACCACCAAAACCACGCCTCCGTCAGATCTGTCAGATTCTGATTGGATCAGTAAAAGCAATGTGTCATGTCTTAACGCTACGTGAGATCAGTCCTAGTGGAAACATTTAAAGCAGTGGTTCCCAAACGTATTTAGCCGCGCACCCCCTTCTAATGTCCTGACCATGTTGACGCACCGCCCAGCCCCACATCAGGGCATGGCTCTCTCTCTCTCTCTCTCTCTCTCTCTCTCTCTATATATATATATATATATATATATATACATATATATATATATATATATATATATATATATATATATATATATATATATATATATATATATCAGATGTCACGCTAAACCAGGGGTCGGCAACCTGTTCCCATCAAAGAGCCATTATTACCCGTTTCCCACAGTAAAGAAAACACTGCAGCAGCCGCGGCGTTGTGGGCGGGGCCTACCCTCAGACAGCAGAGCGCTGATCACAACAGGTGACAGCAGCCGGTACCGGTCGCTCGTGTACGTCAAAGTTATCTTTCATAAGAAGATAATCAATAAAACGATTTATATAAAGTGGATCCAGAAGTTGTAGCCCGTCTCTGCTACAATATTTTGATATTTTTCACCCTGTTGGTGGTTTTACTGAGCAGGTGCCACTTTTGTCATACGTTTCTTTTTAAAACATGTTTAGACTGTTCAGAATACAAATCCAGGCTCTGTCACGTTTGATTGTTGTAATTAAACTTTGTAGGTGGGGAAGGTCAGAAAAGGATCCGATCATTTTGTTTTTCCCTCATTTACAGTGACGGAGATAACGGCGCAGTGCGCCTGGCTCTGGTGTTAATCAAGTTTAATTTGTAACAATTTTCACATGAAAACAAAACAGTTAAAAGCAGGGCTTGTGTTGACCGGACGGTTCCCGTATTTGGCCGTTTATTTTGACAGAGAAAGAATAGAAAGAATTACAGACGAACTGACACTTTATTCGTTACGCACATCGCAGATGTAGCTAAATCACTCAAGAAAAGATTTACTTCTGAACATCTGAGCTGGACACCGCTCAGCGCAACTCACTGTCAGCGCGTACGTACGGTGCACAGTGAGCTGAAGATGTGGAGAGGGGCTTGGAGCACGTTGCAGAACCAGAGCGCACGCGGGAAGATTCCTCCGACTGAAGCGAGAGTTTTCCAAACCCGGTCTCTCAGAGAGACTTGTCACTTAGAAAATGTTCCCTGATGATGAAACTTTGGCTGAATTGTGCTTGTTCCTGTCTCCAATGTGGCGTCCGAGGAAAATCCCAGAATCTCACATCGTCGTCAGCTCAGGAAGCGCCTATGATTACGCACAAGCGTGACGCGTCAACCCGGTCTCACAGTAGACCGGGTTGGAACTGTTCAGGTTTACGCAGACAATCTACATTTAGAATTAGCTTACAGATGTAAAATTAATTCAGTAAAATATAAAGCTTTTTATTTAAATATCCATTCATTATTTTACAAGCACAGAGAGCCGCATCAGATGGATGGACGAGCCGC